TGTTGAGTGCCTTATTTAACTTTTTATGTTTGATAATGGTCTTGAAAACACAATGAACACCTTAAGCAATTATAAAATTCAAACAGTCTAAAAGGCTTTAAAATAAGATAGTAAGAATCCACTTCTCAAATGAAAAATAATTATATATAATATATATAAATATCTATCACCAAAAGTGTAGGATCAATTTAATGCAAAGCAATTCAGCTTCCTTTCCTGATTCCTATTCTAAATGTATAGAAGCTTGAGATGTATAGACTTTGGGTCGGGCTAATTTTGGTGTGGTGTGCAATATTTTTATTTATTTGCAAGGATTTTTTAATGATAAAATTTATTTAAAAACTCGCCTCTTCCAATCTAATATTATACTTTCTTCTCATTTAACTATTATTTTTTAAAAAGCTTTCTTTCTAAATGTTTGCATTGTCAATGTATTTTTTAAAAAAGACATACCTACACTTTTGTATTATTATTTTGTAAATTGTATATCAATGAGCATTTGTGTCAATCAGCTTTCACTGCTATAACAAAATACCTGAGGCAAATCAACTTAAAGGAGGAAAAGTTTATTTAGGGCTTATTGTCCTCGAGGTTTTAGTTTACTAGAACCATGGCCAACTGACTCTTGTTTTGGGGCCTGTTACTGGGCAGAACACCATGGCTGGGAGTGTGCCCTGGATCAAAGGTTCCTATGTCTTGGCAGTTGGGAAGCAAAAAGAGAGAGAAAGAGGCTAGGGCCTGTCTTATCCCCCAAAGGCCTAACTCCATTGATCCAACTTCCTTTCACTTCAACCACCTTCTAGAGGGTTCACTGGTTTTCACCACCAGCTTCAGGTCACACCATTAACATATGAGCTTTTGAGGGAAGTTTAGTATAGAAACCTAACAAAATCACTCAATGCCAGGCCATGTTAGCATGTCAATTGCTCTTTATAACCCCTTGAAGTCCAAATAAGTATGAATTATATAAATATGTACACAATCATTTCCCATTTGAGGTTATCTACAATATTCAGTGTTATTATAATGCTGTCCCAAACTGAAAGTTGCTGTGGGATGAGCCTTCCATATGCTGTGAATATGTATGTTGCCCTCATTGGTTGACAATAAAAGCTGAATTGACCTATGGCCAAGCATAATACAGCTAGGTGGGAAACCCAGAGAGACAGAGAGGATAAAGGAGGAGTCAGAGAGAGATGCCAGCCAGCTGCCAGGGAGGCATGATATACTAAAGAATAGGTAAATCCATGAGTAGATTAATAAAAATTTGATTCTTTAAGTTGTAAGAGCTAGTTGGTAATAAGCCTAAGCTATAGGCCTAATATTTTGTAGTTAATATTAAGCTTCTGAGTGATTTTTTGGCTAAGACATAAATTCTGGCTCATTACCATTTTCTTTTAACCTTAGAAATAATATTTCTGAATCAATGCTTCACATGCATTGAGAGTTCCAACAGACAGACAAAGGCCTTGCGGAGGTTGCAGCCATTTTGGCTCCCACTCACAATGCCTGTAGAGTCCTGCTTTTTAAATTTGTATTCATGGAAATACAGTTCATTCTAACTTACATTCTCTCAAATTGTTAGAAATTTTCAGATACATTCTTCATCAGATGTCTCATTTTTTCTGCTAGTTTACATTTTATTCTCTGTACATTAAATATAAACCAACAAACCATTATACATTTTATTTTAGGTATTTATAGGCCATTTTTAGATTGAGAGAAATGAATTTTCTTTATATCTACCCAAATATGTGCCTTTCCGAAAATCATTCCTGAAGATAGGAGTTTCCTTTTAGCATATTTTACTTGTGTCTAAAACAAAACCCTCTTTAGCATTTCCTGTGGGCAAGGTTTTCTGGCTGTTTTAAGGTGCCATGGCTGAGACTGCTCTTCACCTTGATTCCTAGAAAACTTCTTCAGTGGGTGTAGAGTTCTGATAAGATGTTTTGAGTGTTTAATATATAAAGCTTTTCCATGTTCATCTGGATTTCTTAATTTTGATAAATCAGACATATTTTGGCTCTTATTGTTTCATGTGACCAATATAATTAATTTGATATTTTCTTGTTGGCCGTCATCCAGTAATTTGGTAACTGGTAGAGATTTGAAATCACAAGATTCTGAACTAGATTCCTCTCATCCTCCCCCTCTGCCACCTCCCATAGTAACATCCATCCATCACTACATAAATATATTAAGGCATACTCACACTCACAGTGGAAGTCACGTGAGACATTTTTCTGAAAGCCTGTGTTTATGCAGTATAACTGTGAATGCAATTATCTATTCACACACTATAAAGGTGTGTTCTATTTATTTGCTCCTGTAGCCTGGCACTTTAAGAATGCTTTCCCTTCCTGAGGTTTGCTTTTGTCCTGAGTAAATTTGTCCATGCACGTAGTGCTGGCTTCCGCTGCTTTTCTCAGTCAGGAATGAAAGTGTCTGCTCATGGACACCCTCCACCAGGCGAGGGAATGCAGAGCATCTGACAGAACTCTCTGGGATTTACTGTCATGGCTGCACGCAGCTCCACCTCGGTTTTCATATGCCTCCTTCTGCCCTTGCAGTATTTCAGCTGTGCAACGCTGTTTCCCCTTTCTCCCACCACGTCTTTAATCACATGATCTCATCCGCTGTGTCTTCCAGCAGCTTCCTACAAAGATCTACCCACTTGTGACGATTTCTATCCCTACCCCCATTTCTAGAATGCATTGTTCTCCTCCAAACCTTTGCCCCTAACACCTATGGATTTGCCAAATTTGAGTAGCAGTAGAGGGTGCTATTTAAAATGTGTTGTTTGTTGCCACCGTTCAGCCTTCCTGGCTTTTAAGGAGTTAGAAATTAGCAGAAACATGCTAACACATTTCAAATTCTTAAAGGACAACTCCAAGCTGCAAAGTACATGCCCAAGCAAATTCTTAATAGTAAAGGCAAAACTACTGTGAGCATTGATAGAAGATTATACATTCACGTAACTTTTTTTGCGGAGGGTTGGGAGTGGGGGAGTCAAGACAGGGTTTCTTTGTGGTTTTGGAGGCTGTCCTGGAACTAGCTGGGATTAAAGGCATGCACCAACACTGCCCGGCTTTCACTTGACATTTTTTTTTAATCTAAAGTAGATTTTTTTAATTTTTAATTTTGATTTTAAATAGCTTGTTTTACATGTCAATCCAAGTTCCCTCTCTTTCCCCTCCTCCCGCACTCCCCCATCCCCCCCAGCCTCCCACCCTTTTGCCAATTCCTTCCACATAGGGGATATCTAGAATCTGTCATTTCACTCAGGGTAGGGTCCAGGCACTCCCCTAAGAGTCCGGGCTAAGAGATCATCCCTCTTTGTGCTATGGGCACACGATGTCTGTTTGTATTCTAGGGATAAACACTGGCCCCATAGGTTGCCCAGGCCTTCTCACTGATACTCACATTCGGGGGGGGGACCAGATCAGTCCCATGCTGGCCTCCCCGCTGTCGGTCTGGGGTCCAAGAGCTCTCCCCTGTTCAGATCAGCTGTCTCTGCTGGTTTTACCAGCCTATTCTTTGCCAATTTGCTCATCACTCCTCTCTCTCTGTCACTGGGTTCCTTGGGTTAAGTTCAGTGCTTAATTGTGGGTGTTTGCCTCTGCCTCTATCAGTCACTGGATGAAAGCTCCCGGATGGTTATAGACATCAAGTTCATTATCAGGAATGGGCATTCGGGGTGGTCTCTCCACTATTGCTTAGCTTGCCAATTGTTGTCAACACTTTTCACTTGACATTTTTAATAAAGGAAATCCATCCATTTTCATTCATGCATTGGTACTCAGGATTTCTTAGACAACATAAACAGACAAACTTTCTTTAGGAGAGCTAGGTTAACAGGCTTAGTTCTCATTCTATGAGGTCTTGTAACGCAATGGGTTTTCTGTGGTTATTATAAAATGCCTGGAGTTGGCTGGGCCCTAACACACACACACAAAAAAAGATATTTATTTAGCTGACAGTGTAAGAGGGTGAAAGTTATAGATCATGTGGCCATATCTGTTTGGCTTCTAGTGAGGGCCCCCTTAGGCTGTATCATCCTTTGAAAAACAGTGACAACAGAAAGAGGTATCTTTAGGAGAAGCCAAGCACAGCAACTCATTCCTTCAAGAATGAACTGGAGTGTGCAACTATAAATTCTTACTAATCCTTTCCAAGGGTGGCCACACCAATGGCTGAACTATTTTCCATCGGTCTCCTGCCTCTGAAACATTGTCACCTCAGCATTGCACACCGAAGCCAAGCATCCAGCACGGGCAGCTTGGAGGACGACACACTCAAACCACCACCAGTCCTTACCCCTCTCCTACTGATGCTACTTCACCTTTCTGAGGGGTGTTTCGTCACCCTAGATTAAAGGCAACACCAAGTCCGAGTGCTCCAGCTTGTGGCCAGCACAATCTTCTCCATACAGTCCTCATGCCCTGTGTTTCATGTGGCTCCTCACATTCCTGTTCAGGCTGGCTCTTCTGTCTGTCTTTGATCTTGGTGACAATTCCAGAGCTCTGCTCCAGTCCAACTGTTCTGTGCATCACTCTTGTGGTTCCTATGGCTCTGCAAAAGCTTATCGCTAGTCTTCTTCTGTTTCTACAGCTGCCCGACAAGGACATGGGCTCCCCTGTTTCCCTGTTCTGCACTTTGACTCTTTCCCATTTGTTTGCTCTGTAGTGTGGGGTTAAGAGAAAGGATGTGTGGGCACATCTGTTTTCTATCAGGTTCCTTTTTTTGTTTGGGAGTTTACACTTAAAATCAACACAACAAAGACCCAAGTGATAAGAGCCCTGGCTGCTCTTCCAGAGAAGCTGGGGTTCAATTCCTTGTACCCGCATGGCAGCTCATAACTGTCTAACTCCAGTTCTGAGGAACCTGATGCCTTCTTCTAGGCTCTGTGGGCAGCAAACAAACAAGGTGCACAGACATACATGCAGGCAAAACACTCATACACGTAAAATAATAAAAAATGTAAAACACCCAAATTTACATATTATTAAAGATGATTTTATTGAGTTACAAGATAGGACACATAAAAATAAGCTGAGTAAAAATTTCGTGATTCATTGAAAACTAGAATACTCACATATTAGAAAACATTTTAAGTGATTAACTGTTAACTACTTATGTATTCTTTAAAATATTCATTATTAAGGAAAGTATTTAGTTATGCACTGAATCTTCAAATAAAAAAGTTTGTATGAGATGGAGCAAATTTAAGCCTCATTAAACTCAAGGAACGTTTGCTTTTGAAGGGAATGTAGTACATGCTGAACACTACTGCCCCATCTCTGCTTCAGAGTAAATCATCACCTATCCTACAGTCTCAGAATCATATGACAATACTGTGAACTGTTTGGTTTTACTTCCCAAATGCAAACAGAAAATACTGTTCTTTGAATTGAGATCATGCTATGCAGTATGATGCTTTCTGGTGATCCTAGGCAGCAACTGTGGGCAGCATCCCCAAGTCAGCCTCATGACTATAAGGTGAACTTCTCATATCTCATGGTTCACTGTGCTGAGAAGTACATGTCTTGAAAGCTTAGGTATAGCAAATGCACTCTTCGTGAATGATATTTTCAATTTATGATTGATCCATGAAAGGAACCCTCCCTGGATGTCAATCAAGAAGCTCATGTGTCTTCCTTCATCTTTCCCAGGAAGGAATCAAAGTCCCATGAATACAATCTTAAAGTTTAAGCTCCTCTAGCATTATCTGATTATAAATTTCTTTGGTCAATGGAATATAAGATTTTTTCAAGTTATCCATGAAGTAAAGTGGGTCAGAAATCTTTAGTGGATGAAATCCTTCTTCCACCAATTGCATCTTCTTTAGCTTGAAAGTTCCTGTTGTTTCCATCTTATCCTAGGAAACAATTACAGATCTGAGTGGAACAAGTTATTAATATTCATGGAGGCTGCTTTGTATTATTTCAATGTTTAGCAATGTAGGCCATATCTCCTTTCACATTTTGAATTTACTTAACTTCTTTATATTAATTTAACATTAGAAACAGAAAACTTTCATTCATCTGTAAACTTTATTGAAATATTAGCTTATTGAATACACAATAATTATTAATGTAATCAATAAAATAAGCATGTCTGAAACACACACCCTACCTCATATCAACACCAAAACAATATTATGAATGTTCAATATTGTAATAAGAGTTAGAGTTATAAAAGACAACACTTATGATACAAGTTTTCTCAGGAGGTTCTGGTAATTTTGTGTCTCTGGAGTTGAACAAAAGGACAGAGTTAGCTTTAATTCAGCCATATTGAGTGCTATCACATTTAAAATTTTTTGCTATGGGCAATTCTACCCTGTTAGGAATGTGACTTAAAATTTTCACAAATCAATTGTTTTGTTCATATGGACAGAAGTAAGTTTTATTTCCACATTTTCTCAGATTAATTATTACTATAATGAGTTTGTTGCATATATATTTTGTGACAGGGTCTCACTATGTAGCCCTTCCTAACCTTGAAGTCATGTAAAACAGGTTGGCCTCAAACTCAGAGAGCCACCTGCACCTGTCTCTGATCCTCCAGCACTAGGATTAAAGGTAATTGCCACCAACTTCTGCTGCATAAATAATTTTGAGATCTGAGTATGAAGCTTTAAATGATAGGCTTTCTGTTAATTGTAGAAAATGAAATAATAATCATAGCTATAACAACCAGTGTTTTATTTGGAAAACTAATAACACTAAAAGATTTTCTAAACACTTGTGACACTGACCTAGTCTTCAATAGTCCAGTGCTAAAATGTGGCTTCTGCATCTGTGAGTAAATTATACGATATACTAGGATTAAAGGCTTAAAATATTGCTTTATAAATCTATATTCTATTCTGTGGAGATATATTTCCTATTTCCCATGGGATAACTGATGGGAGGGTGGGGGGACTGGGAGTGGCTAGAAAAAGACAAGGTAGCTGGGTAGAACTATTAACCCCTTACATCCCCAGGAAGCTTCAGGGCAACATCTAGTATCATAAAAGCCAAGCCCAGAGAGGGGCCTTTTAGTCTAGATCCAGCTCAGATCCTTGGGCTCCTGTGTCTGAAATATACAGTGTTTTATGTCATAAGGACTTATCTACAACCTTTGAGAGGCAACCAAGGACAACAACAATCATCTAGCATGTTTTAGGACTCTTGGGTTCCCTGACCAACAACTAGTAAGGGGACTATGAACTGAAACAAGGACCAGCATGGCACAATAACCCTAAGAGTACAATAAGGACACTCATATCTTACTGGTAACCAAGGGCTCTCTAAGTGGACTTAAGAGCTGCTCAAAAAGAAGAAAGCCATGTCTTGTCCTAGAAAGGTATCCAACTACCCTAGTGAGCTCAACTAGCTAGTAAGGTCATGAATGAGCCCTTATGGCAAAACAAATTATTTCCCATAATACAAGGGTGGGGGAAGTGAGCCTAAGGACTATACTAAGGTGTGGGGGACAACCTGCTTAATGACAAATAGCTCCAGGTTATGTACACACACTGCAAACATATTCATGTTGACCCAGAAAGACCTAATTTTAGGCAAATAGCTCCACTGTCTTCAGAAGATCTGTGCAAGATATGGTTTTGTCTTGCCACCCTCAGAGAGAGCATCACTTTGTTCATAGGTCCTGACTGAAGAGAGAAAGAGCAACTCTACAGGATGGACAAAGACAAACCCAGCACTTCCTCATTCTTCTTTCAGACATAGCTCAAGTCTAGCATCAGGTAGCATCAACTTTACATCTTTCTACTTTTTGTTATTAAAACTAACTGATATAAATACAATTCACATGTTATCTGAAGAAGACGTTTTCTACTGTCCCACTTCTTGGTTCTGGCTATTATATTTAACAATAAAATTTGGAGCTGTAAAATTACCTGAATTCTTAAAAATCGTGGACAGGCATAAGCTGGTAGAGATGTTACAACTTGGCAATACATTTTTTCTAAGTCTAAAGACTTGTTTGGTTTCAGAATAATAGAAGCCATCCCTGCTTTTCCTTCATAACCTGGGGAAAGGGTTGAAATAAAATCAATGTATTATTATGTGAATTTTCAAATCTCTGTCACATCCTCACGGCTACAGAGACAATCTGTTGCAGAGCTAACAATGTGACAGTAGCATAAACTGAGTCTGTGTCTTTCCCCGTCAAAGATTTAATCACTAGAAATAACTGAACAAGAGAGAACACCAAACTTTGTCCTTGACTGCACTACAGAAGTGAAACAGGCGGGATGGAAAACACAATGAGTTTTATGTATAATTTGAACCCCATCCACACAAACACTGAGAAAGAAAATACTTATTTAGAGATATATAGCCCTGCAAAAATGTACATTTCAATCATTAATGAAAAATAAAGGGACTATTTGAAGCCAAGAAAACTAGAAATGGGTATTTTGACTGAGAGACATTGCTTACTGCCTATCACGCCACCTGCAGACCACAGACAGCTGATGCTTCCCATCCTCAGGGACAGTTTCTGAATCTGTCCCCTCCTTCCTCTGCTGCATCCCTGGCCTACCCTTAACCCACAGGATAGCAGGAAACACTGTCATTTGTATAAAAGGACACACTTCAATCACATTTAAAGTAGAGCATGTTCCTGTTTAGTGAAATGCACCAACACATGTCATAACAAGAAAACCGACATACGAAGATCAGCTTGAATAATTTTCAAGCAGTAAGTCCCTGGCTAGATTTTTCTAGCTTCTACCCTAAAACACATAAAAACATGAAAAATTCCTCTGTACCCTTCCTCTAAGGTGTCCATAAAATTTCTTAGTTTACTCAAGGGCATTGCTTGCCAAGGAAAGATGAAAACATTTTTAAAAATTAATTTTAACATGCAGAATTTTAAATATTGATTGAGGAATTAATAAGACTTGAAGAGGACATACACGTTCTCATCTACAATTGTCAAGGTCATCAATATCCACATACCTGGCACAGGCACACCATACACATTCGCTTCCTGTACAAAGTCCAACCTCCCGATCACATCAGCGACCTCTGTGGTTGCAACATTTTCTCCTTTCCACCTAAAAGACAGACACTTCCAAGGAAGAGCACAAGCATTTGAAGAGCAAGCTCCCACTTAGGGTTTTAGTGATTTACATTTGGCTCTGTGAAGAAGCACCTAGTGGCCCAAAACAACTAGTTCCCAAGTGAAAGCCATGTCTACAAAAGTGTTTCATTCAAAGTTCAATAAAATCAGCAGCTGTGGCTTGGTTAAAATAACTTTTATTGGTATAAATTGTTCACCATTAAATATTTTAAAAGAGCCATAAAAATAAATGACTATAGGGGGATCTATTCATACAAAATAACTACTTTGTGCAATAATAAAAATTAAGTTTAAAACTTTATCTTTTGCAGTAGTAGTTGAAAGAAATGCTACGCTTACCTGAGTACCTTAATCCACTTTAATTTTTGGGTATTGATTCCTTCACTGCTGTTATTTTAGTGAAGACAATTCTAAAGATGAGAATTTGACATACCACTGATTTATTCCCAATTTGTCTAGTCACTCAAGCCCTTATTAAAGGCTTACTCTATGCTCTTGACTAGTCTACAGTCATTGAAAAAAAGTAAAATAAACTTTAAGGTAGGCTAAGAAAAGTTTGAAATTAGAAAATAAAATCTAAAAACGGGAGGTAGCAGTCTCAGTTTCAAAATCTTTTCATTACATCATGAATAATCTCAAGACTGGTGAGACAGCTCAGTGAGTGGAGGCACTTGTCACCAAACCAGAGTTCAATCCCTGAAAACAGATATGGTGGGAGAAGAGAAACAACTCCCCAAAGTCACATGCATGTGTGGCATGTGCTGACCCCACCAACACTAGTGGAGAATAAGAGATAAGAAATTAATGAATGAATGACTTTATAGCTTTTCTGTTTAATCCTAACTCTCAGTTTCACAGAGTGCTTCTTTTTTTACGCTAATACCAGCCTCACATGTCGCTTCTGCTTTTGTACCCCACTGATTTGATACAGACTGACCAACTCATCGTGTGTTCTAGAAACAGATGGTGAGTGAATCTTTGAGTGGGGAATCATCGTGGAGATGAAAGGACTCTGTCCTTAAAAAAACAAAAGCAGAGGCTCAGCACTTTCCACAGAAGAGGGGTTCACAGGCACAGGATCAGTGGACATTCAGCTTCATTCCTACCTGAAAGTGTCTCCAATGCGGTCCCAAAAATAAAGGAAGTTCTCATGATCTTGGACCATTAGGTCTCCTGTATTGAAGTAAACGTCTCCCTTCTTAAAAACATCAAAAAGCAGCTTGCTTTTTGTGTGCCTGTAAGAACCAGCATAGCCAAAGAAGGGATTCTTCGTGTGTACACGAGAAATGAGAAGTCCAGGTTCTCCTGCAAGAGAAAGGGCCATTTCTGCAGTCATCTATCTGACAATTACCATTACAGACACTGCACACATAGCTAAGCTGTATCAGAGAAAGCCAGCTATTGCAGGTTCTTGTCTTCCTTTGTATTTGCTTCCATCCTACTTAATGGCATTTATTCTTGGTGCCTACATCTAGAATATCCTTACACAAACAGCTTTGCAAAAATCAATGGCAAAAGAATTATATGCCAAGAAAGGGTGAATTTAATTTCTTTTATACTCTGTGTTGGCAGTCTCTTGGAATTGCACAGATTTTTTTTACTTAAGTAATACTGAGAACAAATAACTCTATAATTTTAATAAATTAATAATAGCAGTACATATTAGTGACCATGCCTGCTCCACAATTATAATTGTGTTTAATTTGATTAGCAATTGTTTGAAACTGGTATTTCAATTCTTATTTCACTAAAAAAAAGAACCAGTGTCCAGAATAATGAAGCCAGCTTCAAAACCAGGAAAAGAAAAGCTTCAAAATCAGGAAAAGAAATAGATGTAGAACTCAAAATGAAGCCTTTACAATTTTGGATCAAAGAGTCCGGGAAGTAGGCTGACCCAATTAACACAGCAGTAGAGTGTTTAGTCCTCTAGGTCACTATTCTGGAAACGCTTGACAGGGAAAGGGAGGGCCTTAGAAAGATCTCCCATCTTGTGAACCTTATTTAACGCCACTCATGCTTAGACACTTATGTGAAATCATGATTGCAGTCAAACCTATTCAATCAAAGTTGTGCTTGACAATCTGCAAGACAAGATTACATTTGGAATAAAGGAAAGCAGCTCCCCCAGAAGCCGCCTTCAAGGTCATTGTTTGCTTCCCTCTGAGTTGGTGGGATGGAGCATTCACAGGGCTCTCAGCCAGGGCAGCAGGGTACCTCTCTGGAAAGGATGCATGCTCTGCCCTCACAGCCCCGCTGATTCTTTCTCATCACTTCCATCCCCACTAGCGCCACCCCTATCGGCGTCTTCCCCATCCACAGTCATAGGGCACACTCTGTCTTAGCATCACTGTTCCTAGAGCATCGCCCGGCCACCCATCTCTTCTCATCCCAAACCGCTAGGAAAGGTCTTGGTTACATTTTCATTTTACCAATGCAGGAAGGGAGGCAGACAAAGTAATGTGCCCAGTGTCATGCAGCCGTAGAAGTCAAACATACACACATAGTGTACATTTTAGGGCAATGTCCACATCCTTGTAAGGTCACATACATTGTGTATTCTGTCAGGCTGCATTTAATATCCCAGAATTAAAAAAAAAACACTTATCTTCCTCGAAGTTTATACTGTTTGTTTCTACTTCTGAGAATGTAGATGTTAGTCTTTTTTTTCTCCGCAAATTATTATAAATGCTTGCATAGGTCATGGTGTGTACTCATGTCTTTCCTGATGAGGCATAATTTACATAATGGTGCAATGTTACAATATAAAGTAAAATGCAATAGCTCATCACGCGGATTCCAAAATGGAGTCAGTCAGCGTTTTTAGAAATGCTGAAATTACATAAGCACAACCCCAAGGTTAAAGTCCCAGTTTCAGATCTCACGGTGATTATGAACAAACATGATACAAAGGACCTCCAGGTCTCCAAATCTTCCTCAGCTGATCTTTTTCTCTTGGACAGTGTCTGTGGCGTTGAATTAAAAGGCATTTGAAAATGTTTGCTTTATTATTTTTAGTAGTGAGCGTGTGTGTGTGTGTGTGTGTGTGTGTGTGTGTGTGTGTGTGTGTGTGTGTATACCAGTGCAAAAGAGTGCAGGCGCTCTCACAGGCCAGACGCTCAGATCTCCTGCAGCTGGAGTTACAGGCAGTTGTGATCTGCCTGACAGGGGACTGGGAATTGAACTCAGGTCCTCTGCAAGCTACTAAGACAGTGATTTTTTTTAAGTATATACTTTCTTTTGCAACTTCTCCAGTATCAGTAAGAGAAACAGAACAAGTACAACAGCAAAGCAGATTTACAACTCGTATTATCACATTGAAGTAAAGACCTAGGAAGTCTCCTCTGGAGTAGTGTGAGGCAGCTACATAGACAGCACCTCTAAACAATTAAAAGTGCACATCTCCGTATGCTGTTTTTAATGATGACGCAGAGGTAGGTAATTGAGACCTTTGTTTCCAGCAAAATTTTAGATACTCTACCTTGACAGAGGGATAAGATGGAGAAGAGAAGGAGGCAAGAGGCCACTAAGATTTGTACACACCATTTAATTGTCAACATGAGGCTCGTGAAGTAAATAATGTCACTTCTGATTTACGTAAGAAGGAAATGAGTCTCTCATCAGCTAATCTGCCCACAATTCCTAAGTGTCAAAACCCATATCTAAAGCCTGACTTCTCCTTGTACCTAGAATGACAGATTAATTTAATATTATTGGTAATATGTGATGTAGACATTTGTCGTGATAACTGTGGGGGGGGCATTTGATCACACTGTGAACCACGAGGAGTTTGCACTTTTCATTGATTAAACACAATTAACTTTGGATCAGGAGGCTAAGTTAATAACTAGCTGAACGGAAGTAATCATAGAAAACCAGAGGCCACCCGGGAGAGATAGACGGCCACAGGAAGTAGTTGGGAGGGATTTGGAATGGTGCAGCTTTTTCTGGTCTGGCGGAGCAGAAGTACAACTCTTCTGGAGATGCCAGCAAGGACAGGGGGCTAGCTGTTTGCTGCTCAGATTCTCACCCAGCCCTTGAACATTGAGTCTTATTTATAAATAGGACAATAGAGACTTAGTTAAAGCTACCTTCAGTGGCAGTGACAAGGTCAAATGCCGCTGGGAACAGAACTCTCACCAGGCTGCAGTCTGAGCAGCCAGGCTGCTCTAGAGATGCAGGTCCAGAAATGCAGAGTCACAATAGCTGCTGACATAGCATTAAGTTAAGACCCAGCCACTGAGCCAAAATTAAAACAACAGCCTACAAGCTAGATGTGTATACAAAGATAAACAGAAGTCACAGGGATGCCACTTAACCACTTAAACGATTTGGCACTTAAACAGCCTAATGAGGGCTCAGCATCCAGCAGGTAAGCCAGTTCACTGCCCTACGATTCAAGGTCACTCACATTCCGAACAGCCTTTCTTCCTTTCCGGAACTCGGCACCAGTCATGTGTGGATTCAGGTTCTTTGTTTAAGACGACGCATTCAAAACTCATAATTCATCTTACCTGTTTTCACATGGTGACACCAGCCTTCATCATCCCTCATTGGTTCATCTTTTTGAAAGTCATATGTTATCAACTCAAAGGCAAAAAAAAGCTGCAAACACAAAAGGAAGCAAAAACACATGAACGTTGGGCTATTTGTGGGGCAACAGGAACTGCCAGTACATTCCACGCTCAATTTAAACACAGGAATTTAACTGACAAAAAAATTAAACGAAGATTTGAAATCAAAATGGAAGGCATCAGTAAGCAGGCCTCCCTACCTGACGTTCATTTTTTATCCTTTATGCTTTGTTTCACCTTAGCACTGTTTAGCTTTGCCCGCAAGGTAGTGAAGGAAAGCTACAGAAGGTTCCTAGCTCTGGTTTCCTCATCCTTCTAACCATGTGCAGGAGGACCTGTTTCTAAGCCTTTGAAAGCATCTTCTCTAAAGGGAAGTTTTAAACAGAACTAAGTTATGAGCCCTGAATTATCAGGGTTTCTGTTGTTGGTGGTGTTTTCCTCAAAGCCTCCAGAAAAGTGACCAATTGCCTAAGAACTAGAGTGACTTGACGACTGTTTGGCTTTCCTCTGGGCCTTTCAAGTCAACTCCTCTAGACTAACGTGTAGGAGTTTTCCCATCATTGCAGCGTGAGAAGATCTGTTTGGTAGACTGTCCTTCGCATTCAAGAGCCAGGCTAACAGGATGTCCATCTCCGTCATCTTCAAATGGCTCCTGTGATGGCTACATCACAGTGTCATGTTGACACATCCCTTCTATCCGTCTGACCGGACAGCAAACTAGAAACTGTTCAGTACAACTCCCTCATTTTATCTATAAGAAAAGTGAAATTTTATTTACCATTTAAACATGTAACCTTATTAAACAGAATTAGAAAACAGATTTAACATGGAGGAAATGAAATGGAGTAAGATAAAATTACAAGGGCAAGTAAATGAGGAGGAAGAAATGAGGAGGGAGTGAAGATTTAAAAAATGTACAATAGGAACAAGTAAGTTAAAAAAATGAAAAGAATCACTAAGATAAATACAATAGTAACATCAAAGTATAACAATATCTGGAGCTTAATCTTAGTAAAAGCACCATGTAGTCAGATCCACAATTCACCATCCAATAGTTTTTAGAATTATATTTAGTTATTTACTGTGAGTGTATGTGTTTGTATATGTGTATGGACACATGTGTGCCGTCACATGGTGTGTGTGTGTGTAAAGGGGGGTCAGAGGACTACTTTCAGGAGTTGATTCTTTCCTTCTGCATGTGGTGCCTAGGAGGGACACTTTTATCCAATGAGCTCTCTAAGTACCCCACAATTCATCATTTTAATTCAGTTTAAATAGCAGCACCTAAGGTACAATGGCTCTGGGAGTACCCGCTATACCTACATGCCTTTCTATAATCAGATGCATAAATGTCTGTCGGTAAGGAAGCAAAAATGTTTCCTCAATTAACACATGAGGGACAGGAGAAAAGCACCCAGGTTATGAAGTCCAATAACGGTAGAGATGACACTGGAACTGTGCTATCTGTGTCTGCATTTGAGAATTTTGCCTTGAAAATGGTGCCTGCCCCCTGCCCTCAACTTCTTAATGCATTGTCTCCAAGAGCTTGCAATGCTGTTCCTGTTAGGGATGTGCTCATTTGTCTCGGATGTTTAGATCACTTGTGTCAGATGTTTAGTAACAACGGGATTTTTAAATGGGGTCTTTGCACCATGCCAGCAATGGCCTGGCTGGACTTTGGGTTCCACAGCTGCTGCATCCCAAGAGCAGGAGGAAATGGAGGAAATGGGCTATAGAGCTGTTCTGATTCTAAGAGAGAAGACACATAGCTTTGCCCTTGAAACTCTCCTGGGTTCTGCCTATGAGCTCTTCCCTTGTCTGGATTTAGACTGCGCTTTAGCTGTGATAAGCTGTCACCTGGAGTGCAACAGCTTCCAGCCAATCTTCAATCCCAAGGGTGCTCCTGGAGGCCCCTGGATTTGCAAGTGATGTCAGAAACCCAGGTAGTCTTAGAGCAAATGTGCCCTGACTGCATTTGGTGACCTTTGCTCATGGTGGAGAGATGATTTGGTTACATTTAAGATGATTAAACAGCTTGTACAAATGTTGGGAAGTAAGCTTATTTTTTTTAACATTCCCACATTTTATCTTCATAGTATTTACTTTATGGAAGAAATACCACCTGTACTTCTTCTCCACTATCTTCTGTATATGTTGGTAATACACACATTTTATGTTTTCAGATTTTATTTCCACTCCATTTAGAGGCATAATGTGGATCTGTTTAATCTTCTGCATTTAAATGGATTTATTTCTGGCCACCGAACTTTTTAAGCTGAAGGTGACATCTTCTAAGTTTTGTTTTATTTTCAGACTGACCAGATGTTTTCATTTTATGTATTTTTTCAGCATTCTTATAACACACACACACACACACACACACACCTCTATTTATGTGTAAAACTTAGAAAACTCCTTTGTCGCCCTTATACTGGGAGAGCAATTTAACCTTTACTAAAATCCCTAGATGAAAGATGAAGGTATTTGTTTCTTTCTTTTTTTGTTCTGTCCTTTGGCATTCTGTTTGCATTTTTGAGAGCTTCCTGCAACATAGTCAACCAAGCTGTGTTTTGTACATTCCATACTTCTTTTGTATTTTTTTTAGCTTTTTGCTTCAGCATCACCTGGACGTTTATATTTTGTTCATTGACTTCACCAGTGTATATTTTCCACGTTTGCTATTCTACACCACACTTTCCTGGACACACAGTGTGCTCTTCAGCTACAGACTCAAGTCTTCATGAGCATAATATAATTCTAGTATAATTAAAAGAATCATTCTTCCCTGTGACCAGTCCTTTTCTGCAAGATCAATTAAGTATGTTCCAGAACTATCAGTATTTATGAACTATCTTTTCACTTGTATGCATACATCTTTTAGCCTATTTATCTTCTCTTCAACAATGTTTATAACCTGCTTTGTTTTTAAATTTTATGTGATAATTCATTTCTATTGATGTTTATTTTCTTCATTTATTTCTTTGAGACGAGCATGTCTAGTTTCTAATTCCTTTGTTGATCTATGTTGCCTCGGAAACCTCCTCTTATCAATTTTTAAAGAGAATCCTGTTGTGAACTTTTCTTGAATTTATAGAAAAATATTTTTGTAAGCGTTTCTTTGTCACTTTGCAGCACTTACTCTTTTGATATAGTTTGTGTTTCATTGGCTGACTACTGTCTATACTTATAGTTTCCCTTGTTTCAAGGCTTCTGCCTTCCATAGATTTCATGGTTAGCCTTTACAAACTATTTCCCCAGATTAGCACTGGAAAGGTCATGGATGCTCATAACTTTGAGTTGGTTTCACATGTATTTTTTCTGGACTTCTATTTTGTTTACATTGGGCACGTATACTGGATACAATCTCTTTACAGAGAACAGATTGGGGTTACAGGAACCCCACACTGCTGCATACTTTCTCCTTCACCCATGACATTATCTCTCTAGTTGGAAGCTGATTCCTCTCCAGACAGCAAGTTTTCAAAGTTCTGCTTTTTCTTGTTGTTTGTTTTTGAGAGATGGTCTCTCTACAGGACCCAGACTATTGTGGAACTCACTATGTAGACCAGGCTGGCCTCAAACTCAGACTCATTTGCCTCTGCCCCCAAATGTTTTAAGAAACATGATTAAAAAATATTCTTTTCCTAATTATGTACTAATCATTGAATTTTTTAAATTACTCAACTATAAACAGATAACATGTAGCTGAAATGATAAAAAGACAAACTATAATCCATACGGTATCAGGTACAGCTTTAAAAAGAAATAATACCATGAATAACTGAACTAAAATGAATTTAAAATAAGTATTTTCCAAAAAATATGGAGACAATGTGATACTTTGTATTACTGACATTACAGCAGTATCTCAGGAGGAGACTATAATCAAGTCTAGCCAGCAACACAAAACACAAGTCATCCTTATTATACTCTTGGTGTCTTCATCTGAACGCAATTTTTTAAAAACTTCCTAAGTGGTCCAGTAATTTCTTTTAATGTTCTCCAAATGCTTGAAAAGAAATGGTGCCATACATTTAGTAGATACAGGTCCCACATACATCACTTAGTTTAAGTACCTTGTATATTGTATTATTCAAATAACCTACATTATTGCAATTTTCTTTATTTCTCCTTGAGGTGTTTCTTAAACGAATTTCTCTTTACAAATATTAAGGTTGTTTCAACAAAACACTTTCTTAAGCATTTTTAAAAATAATCTTCATTTATGTGTATGTGTACACGTGTTTATAAATGCATGTCCTGGGTGTGCAGGTGCTTGAAGTGGCCAGAAGAGGGCATCAGATCCCGCGGAACTGGAGTTAGAGGTAACTGGGAGCAGCTGCCTGAAGGGGTGCTCAGGGTCTCTGTGAGCTAACCGTCGACGGAGCTCTCCAGACCTTGCATTAATATTTTTTCTTAAGATATGTATGTTATTGCTGTGCACTGGGAGCTTTTCTTTGGCATAAATGATAAGAGGTGAGGAGTAATGAGAGAAAAATACTCAAGAGGGATGAGAAGAGACTTGCTCAGGACTTGTGCTTTATTCTTAAACACGGAGCTTGAAAACTGAGCAAAAGTAAACAGTTATCCTCATGCTACCGAGGAAGCACATGGCACAGGACTGAAGTTTGCAGAGCTCGCAGCATCGCAGTTCACCCTTTGCAAATGACCTCAGTTTCAAAACAAGTGATAAAAACTTTTCACGACGTAGAAGATTAAGCTCCGGACAAGGGTTTGTAGACCTCAAAGCATTTCCTACAGAGAAAGTGTTATACTTACCTTGTAAAAGAAGTTTGCTCTCCCGACTGATCCAATTTTCCCCGTGTGGTTCATGAAACATATGTTCCCTTCCGTAGCGCCATAAAATTCACACATTTTAATATTTCCGAATCTGTCTAAAAACTGTCTCCACACGTCGCTGCTCATGCCATTTCCAACCGCCAAACGCACCCGATGGTCCTTTTCCCCTTCTCTCTGTTAGAAGAAAAGGTTTCACTTGAAAATAATTCTAGTTTCCCTCTCCCTCTTTTATTGGTGCTACTTATATGGCACCTGTGCTAAAAGTAAACAGGACATGTACTATAGCAGAAGAGATGCAAACACAATAAGAAAGCCACAGAGATCTATTAGAGAATCATGTCCAGTACCTAACATAATGCTGCGTTGTATCTTCAAATATGGAGGGACATTCTTTCCAACTTATAAATGACAAAGACCGTTTTGGGGGGTAGATATTAAGAAGGAAGTGTATTTCAGGATGTGCAAAACTTTTAAAGGATAAAATATTTATTTTACTAAGCCTATTACCTGCATAATTTTGATATTGATTCCCCCCTATTCTGTTTATTCATATTTTTAAGATAGTAGTGGATCCTGTACGTGTGTATTGCAGCTTACTGGCAATCTCAATTACCAACATGTGAACAGATGATAAGACATGACTAAGGATGAGTGAGTTCGATACACAAGCCTATATGTGGGACCCAACAAATGCTCCTCAATGTCAAGCAATTGTGAGAATGGGGACGCCATGAAGCTTTCCTGGCAGTCTTCCCTGACTTGCTCCCTGTTGTCTAGATGCTAGGGAAGTTGCTCTCTGAATTCCAGATATACAGAAAACAGTTCGGGTTGAGAGGCTAGCAAAACAGGAGAGTTTAATGAAAGTGTATTTCAGATGAGGGAATCACCTTGTACTGATTGCATTTCTGTGACACAGTGATTATGGACAAGAGCCATGAACTCTTGAGTTATCAGATAAATTACTTAAGAGAAAACACATACATTTTAGGAGGTGCCTCAATAAAATGACTTGATTTCTCCCCAGTCATCTTAGAATCTAAAATTTGGGTGCCAAATACAATACGTATGTAATTAGATTTTAATACCAGTCTGGATTATTATTAAGCGTCCATTTTTAAGGGATGAAGCCTGTGAAAAGATGTCTAAGATGCGTGGGCTGCCTTGAAAACTGTCCCAGAGAGAAAAGTATATACCTGCAGAAGAGTAAAAAAATAACAACTATTTCTAAAAGAGATGGGAGACTGAACAAGGGGGAGCTCATGGACCCAGACTGATAGCTGGGAAACCAGTATAGGACTGATCCAGACCCCCTGAACGTGGATGTCAGTTAGGAGGCCTAGGCAATCTATGGGGCCTTTGGCAGTGGATCAGTATTTATCCCTAGTCCACGAATGGACTTTGGGAGCCCATTCTTTATAGACGGATTCTCTCTCAGCCTAGACACATGGGGGAGGGTCTAGGCCCTGCTCCAAATGATATAACAGACTTTGAAGATGCCTATGGAAGGCCTCACCCTCCCTGGGAAGCAGAAACAGGATGTGATAGAGGGTTACTGGGAGACAGGGGAGGAGAGGAGGTAGAAGGAACTGGGGTTGACATGTAAAACAAGCTTGTTTCTAATTTAAACCCCCCCCAAAGAAAATTTAAACAAACAAACAAACAGAGATGGGAGACTATCAAGCTATGTACTCAAAGTCAAAAAATTTTTAAATAATAAATATCAGAATGGTACTTGAACATTTTCTGGTAAAGTAAGGGGAAGAAACAAAGAGAGAGAGAAAAAGGAGACAGAGAAAGGGTAGAGAGGCATAGACAAAGACAGAGAGAGACAAAGAGAGAGATCATTCTTAAAGAGGTAGTGGAACTATTTTGGCTATTTTACATTCTATAAACGTATTGTTTAAAACTTTAAAAATGAAAGACATCTTTAGAAAACTAAAAGCAAAACTCTGGAGTTGGAGAGATGAGTCAGTGGCTAAGAGCACTTGCTGCTCTCGTAGAGCACCTGAATTCAGTGGCAGAGGAACTGAGTTCAGGTCCCAGCACCTATGCCAGGCTCCCAATCACCTGCAACTTCAACTCCTGGGGTTCAGAGGACAATTACATACATGTAGCGTACTCACACAGACACATACTCATTCACATAGATAAAAATGTTATAGAGATATGTAAAACAAAACATGTGTCTTTAGTAGACTGGTACTACATGGAACACAAAGGATGCTCCCAACATAAAAAAATGGAATATCATTGATAGAGCAATGAATAAACAGCAGAAAGGAATGAAAGGATCTTGAAAATAAGAGTATGCATGTGTATGTGTAAATGGACATTTACTCTTGAATGTCAATAATGCTTATAGTGTATTTCATGTGTACAGTTAGAACAGATAACTAGAGCATTCAAGGTATCAACTGAATTTAAGTTTTATAAAGCCACTGCACTGTCATTTACATGGGAAAATACTATCTTATGACAACATGTGACAAATTAAGAATCAGTGTTGCATCGTTTAAAGCAATTAAATTACTCAAGGGACTAAAGGGAAAGTGTTTAAGTTCTAAATACAGTGTGTGTGTGTGTGTGTGTACATGTGTTTTTAAATGACTCTCAATGATACTTGAAACTCTAATCATCCAAATATATTCACTTCTGAAAGTAAAATATGACAAAATTATTTTCCTGAGCGATATAATGTTATTATTGCACAGGTCATTGAGACATTGGAAATTACCAGTATCATTATTCACAATTTTATTTCCTTGATTCAAATTGCTGATACAGAAATATGTGCATATAAATGAAAATAATTTGCTTACAATAATAAAAATGCAATATCTCAAATCCCTGTAGCAAACCCAAAAGTCAGTCTTATTGGTGCATACACTTATGCACACAACCACTCTCATACATATGTACATTTGTGGAAGGAGGGAAGAAGTGAAAGGAGCCCTAAAAACCTTATTTGCACATGAACAGAAATTTTGCTTTGCACAAATGTCTAATATTACCATGAAGTCTAAACCAAGCTTTGACAAACTACAGCCTTCAAGGAGCACTCATGGCCCACCTGTGTGTTTCTAAATTCCAATAAAGCACAGTCAAGCCTGATTATTAGGAGACCATCTATGATAGATGTAGGTGAGATTTTGAATATGGATTTTATGTGTAGAAGAGCAATACAAATTCTTTTGATAATATTTTCAATGGTATTTTCTCTGACATTTACATACTTTTTCATTTATGATTGTAGACATATTTGACAAATTCTCAAAAGTTCATATTTCATTTTATTAAGACCAGCACAATGGTTTCAGTTATGAAAGGCCAATGAAGCATGAGCTTCTGATGCAGTCTTTCTCTTAATATTTCTGAAAAAGTATGCAGAATTCTTTAAAACTTTACTTCCAGGTATTTATATAGTCACACACACACATACACAGACATGAGGGATAGAGATAGATGATGGATGGGTATATAGATGATTGATAGATAGACAGACAGACCGACAGACAGACAGATGGTAGTAGGCACATAGATAAGCCCTTATCTAAACAACAGAACATAATTGTCCACTCTTCCAACATTTAAAGTCCCTTATAACAGTTAAACAGATTTCTGACAGTTAGAACTGCTATCACAGATACCCTTTGGGGCTTAGATCTAATTAGACGTATCCATCTGGGTTTCAGTACAAAGAACTGGACTGGTGTGATGACACCCACGAAGAAGTCACACCCACACTGAAGCTCCAGTTTCTTTAAAAACCTTTGTGTGAAGCTGCTGCTGCAGGAACAGAAGGGAAGTTACCTGCTTCCAGATCATCAATTCCTTCTCAGAAACAGTCTCTTTCTTCCAGAACACAGACTCCATCTAACACAGACTCAATCTAACACAACTGGGCTGAACACCTTCTCTAGACACCTACAAAAACTGAAACTCGACAGTTTCTCTTTAAATGCAGAAAGCTCTATTAACTTTAAGTTTTAAGGAAATGATAATGCTAGTTGCTACTTGGAGAAGCAGAAGTGAGACACACTGAAAGCAAAGTCAAATGACTACTGCCTTGAGCCCAGCATAGATGAGTGCTTACTGGAGAAAGCAGGGTTTCACCCTCAAACTATCATCTAGAGCTCAAGCAGCAGATGGTGGGATTTTGGTCCTTCCACTCTGATTCTAGGTAAGACCTCTTGTTTCTGAAGCCTACTGACAATCATGCATGCATGCATCTGCCTGCCATACACCCATGCATCTTTAAGAACAATCATATGTTCTGACAGTTGGCTTTCCTTCCAAGCACCACAATAACACACTGAATTAGTACAGGCAGCAAGTTACGTAGGTTTACAGAGTGGGGGCAAATGGTGTATACCATAAACAATAGCTTGAAACCTCATGTACATATTTTTATTTTACAAATAATGACAAGAAAGGATAATGAAGCTATGCTGATTTAAAAAATGTAGATAGCTTCTAACAAAAGGAGGAACTTGGGTAGATATAAGTCTCCCCATGGTGAACTCCAAACTCATGAATAAAAACATCTTCTAAATTAGGCTCTCCAAGTTCACATTCTTTTCTGTGTTCATCTGTCCCATGCAATCCTGCATACTCAATAAAGTTGTATTGAGGGCTTCCTGCCTAGTTTCATCGGGATTGGAGATAATTAGTGGGAGAAGAAGTAGTATTAATATTTTAACCAGGAAAGAGACATCTTAGTCCACCATCCTTGGCAGACATGCTTAGTGAGGGAACTCAGGCCGGAGGTGTAGCTCAGAGCCATGACTCCACTGTCCCTCCTCATGGAGCATACCATCCTCCCTAACATTTCTGGCAGGGGTTGATGTTTATTTCACTCAAGGAAAAATAATCACTTCTTTGTTGTCTCTGCTGTCATTGGTGTTTAGGAAGTCAGGGAGTTTTTCTTTTCTTTTTTCTTCTGTTTTTTAAGCATTTGGAAAGATGAATGAGACCAGAAGAAAGACAAGGACAGAAAGAGCAAATAAGCCACAAAGACACACTCCAGACTCTGACAAATCTCTGTGATTACCTATTTCTCATGCAGTAGCAACTGATCAAAAGGATGTCACATCCACTTGTGGGGTTGACAGAATGAGTGCAAATAAAGTTTCCTTTCAACTTTAAAACACACTAACAGGAATGTAACTGTAATTGGTGTCATTTTTAAAGCCCAGTATTTTAAAGCATTGTCAACTTTAAACTTCAAGTTATTTTTTTGCAGACATCATATGCATCTAATTTCATAATAAAATTGAATTAGCCTGGACTTGAAGTGCACTACAGTATGGATCTGTCCTGTCCCCCTACATAACAAAGCATACAATGTTTAAATGGGTAGTCTGCCTCCTATTTTCTTATGCTTTTAGACTTATTTTATCTTGTATATTGTAAGCATGTCTGTGTCTTTGGAGTGAAAGCAAAGAAACCAAATCCCTTCCCCCACCCAACCCTCACTCCCAGTGCACATTCTATCTGACCTCTTCAACATCTCCAGTAATGGTCTCTCTTACCTGAGGCTGTTTGCACAGATAACGGCAAAGTTCTCCAATGTACTGAAACACAGTCACATTGTACTTCTTGCAATCGTTCCAAAATTGGCTCGCAGAGAACTTCTTCTTTAGCACACATGTGGCACCTGTAAGAAGAGGCAAAACAGGCCCTAAGTCACCATGAAGCACAGATGACACTGTTGTCTTAACAGGTCCACTCACTTCCAGGGCCTTCACAACTCATCCCAAGTCATTGGCAGTGAGTCCGTTTGGAAATATTACCGTTACAGTCCAGTAACCTTTTAGTGTAGTCATGGGGTAACTATGATTTTCTATTGCAAATGTGCCTTTGGCAATTTGTAGAAAGGAAGCACCTTCAAAATTAGTAGGAATTACATGTATAGTATCGCTAGCATTGGAATTACAAGCATTGGAAGTTTATGTGTATTACCACAAGTGTTAGAAGTACAGTCATTGGAAGAAAATGTATACTACTACAATCATTGGGAATACACATATACTACCCCAAGCACTGGGAGAGCCATCCATCCTTCTCAGAGATGAATGGTGTTGACTCATTTTATCCTTGCACAGAAACATTCACTTTGTTCTGAAGACTTTAAAACAGTTTTGTCATATGCCAAAGTCGAGGTCTAAGAAGCTTTGATAAAATTCCACCAACAAAAGTTCACTAATAGATACAGTACCTAGTTTTAATAACATGTTTTAACATGGTGTCCTATTTTTAATTGGGATACGATTCATGGACCAAATAATTCACAATTTAATGCATACAAGCCAGTGTTTTTTCATATAGTTACAAGTCATCATCTAATTCTAGGACATTTGTTTTCATTACCCCAGAGTAACTATACCACCTTAACAGTCATTTCAATGTCCAACTCTCCTTACCCTCGGCAGCCATTTATGTACATCTGTCTCTAAATATGTTTTCTGTGGACTAATGTGACATATTGTGTCTGGTCTTTCATTTACTATAAAATGTGATTTGGGTTTGTTTATCTTGTAACATGTATCAATATTTCATCCTTTTTATGTTTTAATATATTCATGGATATGCAACATTTTATTTATAATTCATCAGTAATATGTACTTGGGTTGCTCCTTTTTTAGCCATAAACAATAATGATAATAGGAACACTCATGACCAAGCGTGACTGCATGTTTTCGGTTTCCTTGGACATGGATCCATGAACAGAATCACTTGGTAATGTGACTACCCCATGTTTTACTGACTCTGAATTCTAACACAAATACCCTCACCGTGGATGGACTCTTGCTTCCATCTCTGGCCCTGGCTGTTCAAGAAGAGGTGCTATGGGCAGTTAGTAAATCAACCTAAGGCATATATCTACAGCTAGGTCCATAAGAGGACTGGTGTGCGGGTGGTGTCCCTGGAGCTCTGACTAGCAGTGGATTCTGCCTTGGAAGGTTTGGTACTGAGCTTCAAGAAAAGATGTAAATCATTTGCCTCTCTCTCTTTTTGTCTCTCCCCGCTTCTCTCTCTTTCATTCTTCCCCTCTCTCTTTTCACCCTCCCTCTAATAAGCTGCTTAAAATTACTTAAGGGGCAACATGGCGATAGCTTCTTCCCCTTTGTCTTGTTCAGCATGCCCCTTCTTTTTGTTATACTAAAATCAGGTGTTGTGGTCTGTCACCCAGTTTCCTTAATTCCCACAAGGCTATCTTTATGTATATGTATATACAGAGAAGTGACTATGATCTTACACTCAATTTTAATAATCCAATTACAGAAATGGATGTCTCTGTACATATTCTTACAGACAGTTTTAATGATTGACACTTATTGTCTGTGGATGACGAACACACTCTAAATAAGCTACCATCGTATGAGAGGTATACACAAGCTATAAAGAGTGAACTCTATTATTTCAGAGCTAGTGAATGAAGCATCATCTTCCATGTATACAAAATGGAATCTCCTGAATCATCAGCTCCATCACAAATGTTCTGGGGTGTTTGGGACAGACTGTGTGGAGAAGAGGAACCGGCCTTAACAATTCCTCCCCCTCACTTATCTGTGTAATACCAATTTGTTCTTCTTGCCTGGAAGAGGTGGAGTCTATTTTCCCACTGTTTGTATCTAGATCCTTGTCTGAGCTTTGACTTGCTTTGCTCAGCAGAATGATGCTGAAACCCTCCTCGTGCTTTTGGGAAGTTCGCTCAAAACAGTTATGCAGCTGACATATTTACTTCCTGTGACTGACTGCCCTGGTGGGGATCGTGGGATTAGTCTCCTAGGGAATAAACAACCACAAAGAAAGAGGAGTCTGTAAGCATTGGAAATCACACAAGCAAATGCCCAGGACTTTGGCTTTTGCAGTTTAGGAATGTGCTATGGCATGGAAATGTGTCCTTGCCACAAATATTACATTGTAATTGTGCAATATCCATGCAGTTCCTCAGAATTCTATGAATACATTGAAGTTCTAATGAATAAAAGCACTGTTTAAGCGTTCTGATGACATATCAAAAAGAAAAGAAACTTACCCAACTCTATACACCCTCCAATCCCAAGGAGAGCCCCTGAGCTATGGTACAGAGGGAGGGTTATATAAATAATGTCGTCAGCTGTGCAGCCAAAAGCCCACAGTCCAAAAGATCCCTTCAACACCTGCAACTGACTAATCACAGCTGCTTTGGGTAGACCTGGAAGAGAAGAAAAGAATGAAAAATTAACCCACACACCTTCTCTGAGGGACTCTTGAGTTCACCGAGGGACCCCCCCATCCATGTTAAAGATCATGAAAATTAATGGCAGCAAAGTACAGTATCATAATTATGGAGGGGTGGAATGTAGGAGGAGAGCCAAAATTATCTCTGGATAGCTTATATGTTTTAGAAAATGGCTTCTCATGTTTACCTTTGTATGAGAGCTAATTTTCTCATGACCACAGGGCAAACTTTTAGAACGTGTTGCTAAGCTTAGTAGGATTCTAGCCTCCACCAACCTATAGCTAAGAAATCTTTCAAGCAATATCTGAAACATTGAAAAAATTTCCCGCCTTGCTGTAGCTGGCTTATCTACTGCCATTTCTGTATTCACTGAGTGGATTGATTTATAGTTTCCTTTGTCCTGTAGCTACAGAAGTTCATGAAACCCTTTCAGTGGCAGAACATGCTTCCAGCATATCTTGAATCTGTTATGCAAGTCATGGTCACTGTTATATGTCAAGTATGTGTGTGCATGTACATGAAATGAATATGTCCCATAACACATATATCTATGAAAGAAAGATAATTCTGATACCAACAACACAAAGAATTGAGGCAAAAATACATCAACATTTTCTAGATGCATAGCAGGAATCATGCAATGTGAATTTTTGGTGTAATGAAGTTCTACATTCTTTAATCTATTCAAAAGAAGTCAAATTACACAAAACCAAAGTAGAGTGTCTCCTAGAAACTAATGAAAAAATGCTAACATCTGCAAATGTATGCCCCAAATGAGAGGAGCCATAATATAAACCTAAATTACTTGTAAAGTAGAAGTCTTCCAGAGAACAATTCCTTCAAGTAGAATTCTCACTGTGGACCATTCACTTTGTCATGTTTAAACATGCCTTGTCATATGATTCTTTAAAAATGCAAGGTTCATGAAATGTGTTGGAAAGGTTCCATGCATTTCACAAGTCAAACAGTTTCCTTCTGTCTAGTCTTCTTTCACACATAATTAGTTTCTTATAAAAACATGCAGCTGTAAGTAATATAATTTTGCATAGTGCCCTGGTACTGGCAGAAATTTTCCTTATTGTTCTGGGACTTGCTATTGTTATAGAAGATTATAATGTCAGGGTAAGAAATTCTTCCATTAAAAAAGACCTGATAGGTTAACCCATGTGACAAGTATGTTCAACATTAGCATGCTTAGTTTATGTCTTTCCAACTATATGTCTCTATCATGGACTATAACTTGTCTTCTTGATGATTAATATCATCACTTCAATTAATTCACCAGATTTGATTGTATCCTATTATTCTTGGAGTTTAAATAGTCTTAGTTTTTCAAGTGATTTCCTATATAGGCCTCCATTTTGAATCAATTTCATTGTGGCTTTAAGGTGGGCTCAGTGGTAAAGGACTTACCCAGTCAGCATTAAAGAGCATGCATCCCCAGAGCCACAAACACTAACAAATCTATCTCATTAATAAACTGGTTGTCATTATGAAATGCTAAGGGGATGAGGCCAAGCAGGGGTTTTCATGGATGCAGGCAGAGAAGCAAAGCCTGAAGGACCCGAGGAGGCATCAAAGGAAGGGTCATATTCCATGGAGACTTCAAGTGCCCTCCAGGAAGTCTCTGGTGTGCCTTCTTCTGTACCAGTTCTGAAAATCCTCCCAGGCTTTGAGCTCTATTTCAGTAATAGGATCAGATTTGACCTCATATATGAAGTTGGGATAATATTTACCACTATCATGTTCTTTCTTTAAAAGAATCCTTTGCAACTATTCCCAATAGCTTAGACTTTTGCACCCTATACTGAGAATTTATCCAAATTTCCCCTTTAAAACTACATGTAAATATATGAAGTGAGAATATCTCTAGCCATGGTTATAAAAATAGATTTCTGTCCCCCATGCAGAGGAGCAAATATTGTTGCTTTTTCTGCTACAGGGAAGTTTTGTGTCTTAATCACCACATTATCCATTCCAAGGAGTCTCCCTGCAACTAAGAGAACCAGTTCTTAAATTAAATGCTAGTCCTGAAGAGGCAGGTCCAGTAATGCTACATCCAATACTCCTGTTACCTTTCAAGGCACATTAGCAAATTTCTTGAGCCCTTACTAGTTTAGTTATTTTCCAGTATATAATAAACTCATGAACTTACCTGAAACAAATGTAAGGTATTCAGTAAATTTTTTATAAAGAAGACAAGAGATAGGAACTTATCAAAACAAAACAAAAGAAAGATCAAAAGTTGATGGGGTTTGTCTTTGGATAAAGAAAATAAGAAGGAGGATAAATCAAACCTGATTAGCTCTTATTAACACATTATACTGAGGCAAAATGCTATCACATTGAAGAACTTAAGATTCAAGGAGCATAGAAACTGTGGAACAGACATCAGTGATATTTCTCAAACTAATATAGTGATACTGCCCTTGTTTGCATCTTTCTTGGTGAATTTTTTCTTGAAAAATATTACCTTAGGTGTGGGCTCTACAGTTTTTGACACTTTTAAACTTTTCTTAATCCTGACACTGGAACTCTTCAAATGTAGTCCGAATTGAAAGAATCACTGAGATGGGACCCAGGAAAGAAGTAAGGAAATGGAATCTGCCTGGTGACTGTAGAGCTAGGAGAAGGATGCCAAAAGAAAGCTGATTTTAGGGGAAGTACAGTGTGGGAACTAACAGTGAAGGTTGTGAAGGTTGGCTATGATATTAGACAAAATGAGTAGGGATCCATAAAGAGGTGTGTAAACATGGAATTTTTTTTTTTTGGTTTTACGAGACAGGGTTTCTCTGTATTGTTTTGGAGGCTGTCGGTCCAGCCTGGCCTCGAACTCACAGAGATCCGCCCACCTCTGCCTCCTGAGTGCTGAGATTAAAGGCGTGCGCCACAACCGCCAGGCAACATGGAATTCTTTATCCGGTAACAACAATAGACACAGAAAACAAGCTGAGGCTTGGTTTCCTCCTGGAACTTACAGCAATATTTGAACATTCAGGACGATGTGGCCATGTTAGAGATTTCTAATTGCATCTCTTCAAGTCCATCTAGTAACGGCAGGACTAGACTGAACACATCAGCAGACCCTATGCACAGAGGAGACAGACCGTAGATAACATCCACAGAGTTTCATTAAAAAGATGAGAACATGGTGAGTCACAGCACACACCTAATAAAGCCAAAGTGAAGAGGAAGCCAAAGGAAAGCTGGTTTGTGTTCTTAGAACACCAGAAAGGCTCACAAACAGGGAGTGGAAGATAAAGATGTGAGCATAAATAGGCTGCTGTGTGGGAAGCTCTGTTTGTGAAACAATTCTGGTGATGAGGTGCCCCGTCAACCCTGCAGACAACTGAGGGTTTTTTCTTTAATAAAAGTAGAGGCTAAAACAGGAAGATAACTTCCCACTCCCCGTTTAACATTTGCTGTTTTTCCTTTTGAACATTCTTTTTTGAGACATCTGAATCTGAGATAATTTGCTTTGAGGTTTATTACTTAAACTTTTAAGTATGACCTGATAGTCAAAAGAAAGTCCAATGTTTAAGAAAATTCTCTAGCATAAAAGAAAGCAATGCAAAGTATAACATAAAAAGGACAAGAAAAACAGACAAGATAAAGATATCTGAAAGATAATAAGACAATAAATTCTCAAGAGTACAATAATATATTTCTAAACGGAAGAAGAGTCAAAGAACACAGGATGGGGAAATCTCTCCAAAAGTAAATAAAAAACTAACAGAAGGGAAATAGAAAAAAAAAACAGGCAATTGATGACTTAGTTTAAGAGGCTCAATTTTTAAAAATGGAAAGTCTCCAAAGATGGGAGAACAAAAAATCGAAGAGGAAAGTTGTATTATCTTTTAATTTCAAAACATAGAACTATAAGACATTTATGTCTAGATTGAAAATAGTCTTAGCTTCTCAGAAAATGACTAAACAAGACCTATGTCAGTGTTAGTCATCAGAATGATGTGAACAACAGAAGATTCAAGGCCAAGAAGCACAAAGATAAAAGGCTTCTCAGCACGTACACAGGAAATTTAAAGTCAAAATCCTGAATAAGAAAAATCTCCAACATACAAATGTACAAGCAGTCTTCCATCTGTAAGAATAGAAAAAAGATGTTTGGGGATATGTAAGAATTTGTAAAAAGTGTTGCCATCCATGTGTCCCTTATCAAGGCGCTGCAGAGAACAGGGCAGAGAGAGAGACCGAAGTGACATAGCTCAGGTTTCAGTGAGAAGGGACCAAGACAAGAACATGTTGAAGGAATTCCCAAGAAGATGGTGAAGAACAAATACAAGACAACGCAGCAGCTGAACAGGACTGAAGGAGAAGGAAGGGTGTCTGGAACAGGGGTGTCCAAAAATTGACTTGACAGAATGTATGGGGCTTCTTCAGTATCCACAGCTACGTTTCCTCGTTGATGAAGAGGTGGCATCACAAATTAGTTCAACACAATTATTACCTCAGGATCCATGTTGTTGGAAACCCAGCTATCTCTTTCAGCTTCTGAGAACTTTCTATCACCACAAGACTGTGCTACGGTAACATGTCCCCCATGTCACTGACCCATATCCTCACAATCTAAAGGTTTTCACTACGACAAAGACAATGATCAACACCAGGGCCATGTAAAATCCCTTCTCCATGAGTGTTTTCTTTAATTTAGCCCATGCATGATCCTATAGAGTTATCTAAGGGATAGTGCCTCAACTTTGACCTTGAAGATGAAATAAATGTTTGTTATAATCTCTCCAGTCTGTTCTCACTGGAGTGGACATGTAGAGACTGTCTTTAAGTCACGGCCAGCTTGTCATCAGAACACAACCACAAAGAAGACAAACTGGCTAAGCATCTTCTTCTGCTGGGATATAAAGTAACTCCTTCCAAAAGTTATTCTCTTTCAAATCCCAATGTCCAACTAAATTATTGCTGAGAAACCAGTATATACAGGCCTTTTTGAGTTTATTTATTCTAATCATATTTTAAAATATAGTATGCTTTCTAAAGGATTAAGAGAAATAAGAAGGGTCAAATAATTGGCTGGTAATGTTTTTAAATTATTTTGCAATAGTAGTTATGCTTACAACATGGCACACATATAGCTAATAGCAATACCGAAACAGGGAAACAAAATCCCAATCATCAAACTGATCACAGAGCCTCTTTGAACTGTCATTCACAGCTCTAGGCGCTTCCTAAAAGCCAAAGAATTCTTATGACGTCTCAATCAGTGTCATTATCATCTTTTGGTTATCATCATTTAACCTTTCCTCCCAATAAAGGGAGCTGAGCTACTTCAGCCCATTTTGTTTCTCTGGATTCACAAAGCCTTGACTCTTCCAATGATTCACAAGACCCTGGGAGTTAGGAGAGCTGCCACCTGCACCAAAACTCAAGAATAGAAAGAACTGCTCTTGAGTCCATTACCAGGTTTGTAGACACAGAAGGTGAATGAAAAGGAGAACTAACAAGGACAGGAACATGACTGTGCCTCTAAAAGGGAGAGCATAGCCAGAGGCCAGAACATCAGAGAGAGCCCAGAGTAGACATGACCAGGCTGAGCAGGGCCATGTGGGCAGGAAGGCGGGGGAAGGGAAAGGGTGAGAGGGGTGCACACTGTGGCAGATGAGAAAGCAAATGTACAAAGAGCAGGTAACCAACACGGCTGCACTGTATAGGGAAGAGCCTCTGGGGGAGGGCACAACTGTTGCTGGGCTGGAGAGGTAGGAGGGCAAGGTATGCCAGCCATGCCCTGCAGCAGGCAGAGATGGAGAGATGGCTGAGATACAGACAGTCAGGTTTACTTTGATATGGTAAATTGGCACCTCAGCCTTTTGTCCAGGGTTTGAAACTGGACAGACGCTAACTAGCAACTACCTAAACTATTCTCTTCATTATTAGGTATGGGAATCTGAGGAGCAAAAAAATAGCAAAAATCTTGTCAAAGAAATTGGCTGAGCTCTAGGGCTGGGCTAAAGTCATCAGAAATCCCAGGGTCCTTTGATTTACAAACCTAAGGAAATCTCCAGAGATTAAGGCCAATGAACGTGAGGATTTGCCAAACTTGAAACAATCCACCTTTTAAGTCAAAACAATTAACTTTCCCAATCTGCATTTGAAAGTCCCTGGGCATGAGACTGACCATTAGGTCTTCTTTCTCAGATATTAATTTTTTGCAGACAACTGGAAAATATAGTGTTGTTCTTGAGACAGACTCTCAATATGTTTCCCTGTTCAACCTGTAACTCATTTTGTAGACTGGGCTAGCCTTGAACTCATAATAGAGGACTGCCTGCCTCTGCCTCCCAAGTTCTGGAATTATGAATGAAACTAAGAAAATGATGCCCTTAGATTTAGTGGTGGAGGAGGTTTATTGTAGATATCAGGGAGAAGAGCTAGAGGCATCTAGAAGAATCCAGGCTGGGCCAGGCCATGAGAGGAGAGAGAGCGGTGAGGAAAGGAAGGGAGGAAGAGAAGAGAGAGGGAGGCAAAAGAAGAGCCAACGACCAAGAGACCTAGCCAAAATGGCTAGGGAAGAGAAGCTGGGGGAAGGGTAGGGGCCAGTGTAAGTCAGCCAGGATGACCCTGTAACAGGTACTGAGATACTGAGATACTGAGTGAATCTGGTGGCCAGGTACATTCTGATATGTTAAATAGGTACCTCAGCTAGCCATTAGTCCTCAGTTTGAGACCTAACACATCAGACCTAAGAGTTTATTATTTTTAGTTATTTGTATGTACATGTCTGTGCAATGCCTGTAAAACACACACACACACACACACACACACACACACACACACACACCAGGTGGGTCCAAGATCTGGCTAGTCAGTCAGTCTAGCAAATAATAATAATAACAATAATCTAATGAGAGCCTTATCTCCAGGCAACAGGGCAGAGAGCAATGGAGGTCACGTGACATCCTATTGTGGCCTCCACATGTGCACACATGCATTCAGGGGCATACACATGCAACACACACACACACACAGAGAGAGAGAGAGAGAGAGAGAGAGAGAGAGAGAGAGAGAGAGAGAGAGAGCACAGCACACATACCTGTTGTCCCAGAGGTAAAAATATAGAGGCAAGTAGACTTGAGACTTGAGGTGACGTGATGGCTTGTTGGTACTGGCTCATCTGAGGCGAGGCTCAACTTTTCCTTGAGGGAAACTACACCCTGTGGGACAGAATCCTTCATTCCCCAAACACTAATGTGTTTAGGGAGGCTGGGAAGGATTTCTTCTATGCTTCCAAGCAGATCTGAAAAGCAAACAATTAGAAATAAATAAAAAATTCAAATCTTAAGTTTCTTGTTGGGTTTTCACATGTTGGGACAGAGATAAATGGAAACACAGTATCTTCTCTGTCTGATTGTGTGGCATCAAGGCTATTTTATGCTTATGTTTGGTTTGGGATATGTTGTTTTGTTTTGTGGTATGTTACCCTAAATACCCTTAGACTTGAACTTGCAATTTCCTAAAATTTCAGTTTGGGAAATCCAGATTATAAGCATGAGCCACCATTCCAAGCCCTGTTGATCTATTTCTGCAAGAGTAACTGAAACAACAATTTTGTCACCATCTGATTAAACAACACAAAGTGGATTCTTATTAAATGTTGGTGATTTTGACAGCTTCCTGCTAAAAGACTACACTTCCCAGCTTCCATTGCGGCCAGTCCAAGCAGTTCTCAATCAGAGGGCCTATGAGGTGGTAGTAATTTCTGCCCCTCTAAGGGTCAGATTTCATCTTCTTCTGTAGACATTTGGCCATCTACATACTTGCCACCTGACATGACTAAACATGGCCCTGGTTTCATCTAAGGTCACATTGAGCCTCTCTTTCTTCCTGCCTTCTCTTTATAGCTGTTTTAAATAATCTGATAGATTCTACTACTAAAATATTATATTTTCCCAGTTTTTAAATAAAAATACTTCCGAGATTCTCTTCAAATTTAAATTTAGGATACTGCGGTAGACATTTTCTTCTACAACTTGGTAGTTAATCAAGGAGAATCTGGGTCTAAATTGCTCAACTTTAACGAAGCACGTTTGAGGAAATCCCTTGGCTGCTTTGGAGTCATAGGATCATTGTGGTTTCAAGGCCATTTTGAAGCCAAAGGTTGATGAATTCAGAGAGAGAGGCCTGTTCTCTCAGTGTCATGAGAAAAGGTGCAAACCCCTGAAGCAGAGAGGGAAAGGAATACCTCCCAGAAACAGAACAAGGTCCTCTATGCAGGAGACAGTGTGACAGGCAGCTGAGAGTGCTGAGCTGAGCCTCCAGCAGCAGCCTGGGGTCTCAAGGTCAAGGACAGAACTGCAGCCAAACAGAAAAAAGGAATAATTAATATTGAGATCTGAGTCTCCAAGCTGAAAGGCTTTGGAGTGTAGTTAGTTCAAGGGTCTGAGTGTTAGGGGCCGGAAAAGCAATCAGGGTACTGTTTTTTTAAGAAATTCTTTCCAGGATTAAGAATACAAAAAGGCAATGGCTGAGGTGAGGTGAGGTGAGACTAAGTTATTTGAAATTCTCTCTTGGCCACTAACATAGTATAAAACATCATACTCTAAGGAAGGTCCTTGATGGGGAAGAAGAGCAATGAGGCAATGGTGAGCTCCTCGTAAGGAAGCACTAGACATTAAGGTACTCAGTACACAGTACTCAGAACATAGTACATCCAACGATACACAAAAGAAACAAAATCCATCCTTCCTGAAAACCCTTTTCCTAAAATATAGAGAGAACTATGTTCATCACATTGTTTTTGCTGTAATTCTGCCTTAGTTTAACGTGGGTCTCTGAGAGTAGAGTAAATTTTTACATTTATTATAATAGCTAGTTTTTCCGTATTTCTGTGATATGCTGTTCTTTCTGAGATGTGTGGGGCTTCTGATTGCTGGGTTGGGTATTTTAACTCGGCATCTACACCAGCATCTTTAGTGCTGCTGTTTGATAACACCCACTGGCATTTTGCAATTGATGCAAACAGAGCCAAAGATTACCAGCAACCACCAAAGACTCAGGAAAGGCAAAGAAAAAGTCTTTCTTGCTGGGAAGCCATGGCACACCTTTAATCCCAGCACTCAGGAGGCAGAAACAGGCAGATCTCTGTGAGTTTAAGGACAGCCTGGTCTATAGAGTAAGTTCCAGGACAGGCTCCAAAGAGTCTTTCTTATATGTTTCTATGAATATGATCCTGACAACACCTTTGCTTCAGACTGTCAGCCTCCAGAACTAGGCAAAATACACTTCACTTATTTAAAACCCCCAGTATAGGGTATTTTATCACATTGGCTCTAGGAAGCTAATAAACTAAGTTCTCAAAATGATGCCCAGTGTAACTGATAATCAAAAGAAATTAAGTAATTCTAAAACTATACATGCATCATCAAAGAAACTAGTGACTTCGAATGGAGAGTTGGGGTTCAGAGTTAGAAAAGTGTGCTGCTCCCACCGTGGACTTGAGTTCAGTGTCCAGCACCTACACCAGGCAGCTCACAATGGCCTGTAATCTGGTTCCTGAGGTCAGATGCCATCTTCTGGCATCTTTGGGCACCTGTACTCAAGTGCTCATATACCCCACAAATACCTTTCACAATAGTCTCAGACAAAGAATAAATAAATACAAAGTAACATCCTGGGATAACTTTAATCAAGCAAATAAGAGCCTTGAATAAGAAAAAAGTTTAAGACATTGAAGAAATTGAAAACAAAAGACACCACAAGATGGAAAGATCTTCCATGTTCATGTATCCATAGTATTAAAAAAGTCAAAATGGTTAACCTACCAAAAGCAGCCTGCAGATTCAATGTAATGCCCAACAAAATTCCAACATAATCCTTCACAAATATTGAGAAAACAATCTTCAGCTTCATGTGGAAACAAAAAGACCCAGAAGAGATAAAACAATGCTTAATAATAAAAGAACTCCTAGAGGTATCACCATCCCAGATCTCGAGTTGTGCTATAGAATTATGTTAGGAAAAACAGAATGGTATTGGCATAAAAACTAACACAGTGACCAACTGAATTGAATTAAAGACCCAGAAAGAATTTACACACTTATGAACACCTGATTTTTGACAAAGAAACCAAAATACACTGGAGAAAAGACAGGAACATCCACAAATGGTGCTGTTCAAAATGAATGATTGCATGTAGACGAATGAAAATAGTTCCATATTTATTACCCTCCAGAAAATTCAACTCCAAATGGATCAACATAAGTCCATAGAAGAGAAAGGAAAAAGTAGATGTGAGCTGGGCGTTGGTGCCTCATGCCTTTAATCCCAGCACTGGGGTGGCAGAGGAAGGCATATTTCTGTGAGTTTGAGGCCAGCCTGGTCTACAGAGCGAGTTCCAGGACAGCTTCCAAAACAATACAGAGAAACCCTGTCTCAAAAAACAAAACAACAACAAAAAAAGTAGACTTGAACCCATTGGCACAGAAAGGACTTTCTGAACAGGATACTGGCATCACAGGACACCAATACCATAGTCACTAACAACTAACAAATGTGACCTCATGAAGCTAAGAAATTTCTTTATGGCAAAGGATGCCATCATTCTGTCAAAGCGACAACATACATAATGGGAAAAGATCTTTATCAATTATACATCTGATAGAAAGTTAGTATCTAAAATATATAAAGAAGTAAAAAACTTGAGCAATCAAGTTTTATCAAGAAAACAAATAACTCAGTTTTTAAAAAATGGGGTCTAAAACTAAGCAGAGTTCTTAAAGATGCAACAAAAATGGCTGAGAAACACTTCATGAAATGTTCAACATCTTTAGCCATCCGGGAAATGAAAATTAAAACTCTTTTGAGATTTCATCTTTCTCCAGTCAGAATGGCCAAGCTCAATAAAGTAAATGGTGGCATCTAGTTGAATGGTTGGCCTAAGGAGCCCCATAGGAATCCCAAAATATCAGAAGCCACTGCCAATGTTATTGTTTGAGCTCTACAATCTGGCAGTAAGGGCCTACTGCTGAATACAACACTTACTTAGTTATCAAACATGGCAGCTGCCGAACAGGTGCCTAACTAGAAGCTTCAGCCTTAGTGACTAGCATTCAGGGTACTGGGAAGTGGAGAAAGGAGAAAGGTACACCAGTGCCACCCAGATGCAAACCCTGTGACCAACTACAGTGACCTCGCTGCAAGGGGTCCTGATGCAATAGTGGCATAAAGTGGAGAGGGTGGAAAGACTATCAAAGCCAGAGGTGATCGTTGACTCCGAGCAGAAAGTGTCTTCCAGGCACAGAGAGCTTACAGATACGTGAAAGCATGCACAGGAACTGTTCAGGTTCAGGTCAGAGGGAAGGGAAAAACATGGTCAAAATATATTGTATGAAAAATTCTTTCTTCAATAAAATAAATCAATACAAATAAGTGAGTCAAACGGCACTAGGCACTAGGTAACTCATAAATAGAACCTGTAAGAAACTCAAAACAAACTCTCAGCTCTGGTGAGTGTATGCAGTTATGTGGTAGCCTGCTGTGTGCAGGCTGCTTTGGCAAGGAGTGAAAACCCCGCAAGGATGGCTGGAAGGAAAGACACGACATAAACAGAAAGACAGAAAAAGGATCTAGTCTTTCAAAACAACAGCTCTAGATTTTGTTTAAATGACTCTTTCTGACATTTTGAACTTAATAATACTCTCAACTACTTATTGCAGTTATGATTTCAAATTGGCCATCTGGAATTATAAACCAATGGCTAAACTTCTATAACTTCTTAATGAGTTGGCATGTACAAAGTTACAATACAGCTGTTGCCTGAATCTTTGTTGAAGCTGCAGAATCCAGGGAATAGTGAGGGTTTACAAAGAATGGCAATGTATACAAGAATGAAGGAAGTGAGCAAAAGTCAAAGGAAACATAATTTCATATCCTTCAAATTCAGCTGATTTTGCTGAGGCAGAATTCTCAAGCACAATTCTTTCAATGGTGTTTAAAAATCATAGTGGGCATTTGAAACATCAATGCGAGAACAGAGGGACTGGAGGATGGTTCAATGGTAAGAGCATTTCCTGTTCTTCTAGAGGACCAGAATTCAGTTCCCAGTACCCACATGGCATGTCCAGCTCCAAGAGGTCTGACACTCTCCTTCTGTCCTCTGAGGGCACTCACATACATACACATGGGATTCACTAACCCCCAGCCTAAAGTAAAAAGAAAATGCATCTTATGTAAAAAGGATAAGGAATCATTAGTTATCATTACGAGTTTTAACAACATGAAAAAGTCTTCCTTCATTTT